TGCTTTTATCCACTTAATGAAATGCTCGCCGATCCCGGTTATATCTTTAACTATCTTCCTCTCGAATACTCAATCGAGGAGTATATCCAGTTCATCGAAGGTAGTTACTAATAACGAGATGTGTTCATTAATAAAACTTACTATCGAGTCAATATAGAACAAGCGCCGTATATTAACTTGATAGTAGCAATAAACTTGAGATGAAAACGATTGAGATTGATAACCTCAACACAAGCGGTTTATTGGTTTAATCAATATAATTAATTCCCCTTGGTATATTAACCATGAGATGCATGCATTAATATTCCAAGTTTACTACCGTTGAAAGAACCGGATTAATAACAAGCGTATTAACCGATCGATTCTAGTAATAATTAATATGAGAAACAATACTAGTTGATACTTTAAGTAAATGTTTAGGATATTAACATGAAATATGAATAGGAATTAATTAATACTCAAGGAAGAATATTAAAGAATATGAATCCTACTATGATTAATATCAAGATGTTAACTAATTGTCATCTTAGTAACACTCCCCAATATTGACATAGAGGAAGAAATAGCTATTACTATAACCAATGTCAAGATGTTAACTAATTGTCATCTTAGTAACACTCCCCAACTTTGATATAGAGATAGTATTTTAAAAGAAAGAATTAATATTCAAGGAAGAAGATTAAAGAAAATAACTCACAACTTACAAATTCATTAAGCTTCAAAGTAGCAAAACCAAGATGGAAGAGTTTAGCTCCTCATTGGGAGACTAAACATGATGAAAAATATAAAGAAAGAGCTATTCTATAGTGAGCTTAGATGTACAAAGGAATTGGATATCTTTTTGTGAAGGAAAAGAGGTGTATTTATAGGCTTTTGGGATGGGATTCGGGTACTCGATCGGGTATACACATGGTACCCGATCGAGTGTGTGTGTAATACTCGATCCGAGGTATACTCGACCGGTTTCAGGCTGTTTTCCATAAGTATACCCGATCGAGTATATATTAATACCCGATCGAGTATGCTTAGAAAATGGTATTCGGACCATACTCGACCGATCTTCGTTTAAAACTCAAAGGCATACCCGATCGGGTATGTCGGTCTACCCGATCGGGTATAGACATTAAATCGTGGCCGAAATCTTCCCGGCATGTTCCCTTGTCTTCGGATCTGATCTGATTTGAAGTTCCAACCTAATACCCGATCGAGTATAGTTAATACTCGACCGAGTATAGACCAAAATTCAGGATCTTCTTTTGTCTTCAAATTTTTGCACCTTCTTTCCACTTTTTGGGTTCACCAACTGTACTTCGAGTGATCAAGACCTGTTTGAGCTCAGAATATATCTAATCTAACCTATTTACAAGAATTTAACAAACTAATCTATTACACCAAAAGTGTGTAATTTCCATAGTAAAGATCAAGCAAAACTAATTAAAAACACAAACATAAATATGGAAATTACAAACGTATCAATATTCAGTCACCTTCTATGGATGATAATGAAGAATAAGAGAAGATATGCAGAGCCCGAGTCTTCTGTAATCATAGTAAACAGAATAGGGAGGAGGGTGTCACCCTGTTTCATACCTCTAGAAGTTTGAAGAAACCGTGGGGAATGCGTTGATAAGTGTTGAGAAATAAGAACTGCTGAGGTTATTCATAATGAGAGGCATAAAAAGATCATGAAAGCTAAATTGTTTATCACACTTTGACATTTGATATGGGTTAAAAGACATATATAATGAATCGAATCCACCATAACTCTATCGAAGTGAACTTTTTGTAGAGAAGTTACAGGTAAAAGAGTAAAAGAAGGGTTATACTTACAACCACCGAATTACTATCTGCAGCAATAAAAATAAATATTATTAATCATTTTAATTAAAATATATAATTTTCACATTTACTAATAAAATACATTATTTCAATAAACTCAACAATCGCCCTATATTTAATATGGAAAATGTTTGATTGTTTTTTCACAACAATAATTTTTGTGAATTATTTGATATTATATTCATTAATTCTGACCATAAGGGATGCTTTCTCTCATTGCACTTTCTTTAACTTTGATACTCAGAATCATTGCTATATCTCTTGTGAGTTTAGCTTTAATCTCTGGTCTCATCATGACAATCTTTTTAATATCACTTTTAAAAACTTGGACCCGATTGACACTGTTTTACATTGCTGGTTGTCGGTTCATGACGAGTCTCACTGCCTTTATGATGATAGTATTTTCCCTATCTACGAGGCTATTAATTATATTAATTAGGAGCTCTGGGATGTTAGTGTGACTTTCCCCATTATCACTGCTTTGTCTAGCCCTCCGTTGAATGATATTAAGCTGGTAAATCCGAAGGTGAAACCTAGGAATAGTAATAATATTCAGTCTACATGTTGGGCCAAACCTCAAGCTGATTTTATTAAAATTAACATTGCTTTTACTAATTTGAGGGACACTGGACTACTATGAGTCTTATTATTCGTGATGACCACAATCACCTTTTACACTATTTCTCAGCAGCCTCTTATCTTGATAATATCAAGGCTAATATTTGTGATATTTTGATCAAGTTCAGAAGTTATCTCAATGAAGAAAATCACTCTAATATTATCATTGAATGTGATAACTCACAGGTTATTCAGACGCTAAAAGGAATAGTGCGACCGAGGTGGAACACGATTGCCAACTTGAAAGCTTTTAAAGAAGGTTTCAGTATAACAATCATTGTTCTACTCATATTAAAAAAACATGTAATCGAGCAACTAGTTTCATTGCAAAATATTTTGACGGTTTTGATTGTAATACAGACATTTATAGTAAGTTCTTAGGCATTGTCAAGTTTGACACAACTAGTTATCCGTACATTGCCAATTTGGGTAGGTATTGACTTTAGTCCCCCTACATTATTCTTGCTTTTATTGATAGGTAAGGTGTTTCCTAACCCTTATCTCACAACATGTGGACTAACACAAGAATTAATATATACTTACTTCGTTCCATAATTCTTGCAACATTGTGATTTTTGCACTATTCACAGACCTTACTTTGACCATGATTTTCTACTAATATACACAATCAAATTATTACGTATAAAATGTTATTAAATTCCTATCAATGTGAATTTCCAAAATATCAAATTTTTATAATGTTTTCTAATACATAATTAAATATAATTACAGTCAAAGTTGTGCGTTGGCAAACGTGAAAGTCAAACTGTTGCAAGAATTAAAGAACGGAGGATAGTATATATATATATATATATATATATATATATATATATATATATATATATACATTCATTAGTTGAAGGAATAATTAATTAATAAATTTAGAGTGTGATAATGCATACATAAGAACTATACTCCCTTTGTCCCCCTATAATTGTCCCATTTTTTCATTTTTGGATGTCCACCTATTATTGTCTCATACTATTTTTGTAACATTTGTGTGACTCTAATTTATTCTTACCTTATTCCTACTTTATCAACTCATTATCAACCACATAATCTTACTTCTCTTAAAAATCATACCACACCCTTCCGTCCCAATATCAGAGGGATGGAGGTAGTAATTCTTATGTGTGCATTTTTAGGGTAATTCTAAATACAGCCCCATTTTACTAAATGCAGCCCCTAATTAAATTAAATGTCTAATATATCCCTATTATTTTATTGCCCCATACTCCAATGCATCGGCTCCGACTTTACCATCGACCTTCTGCTTTTTTTCTCCTCCCCGGACCACACTCGCTCTGTCTATGATTTCCGTCGAGCTTGCCACCTTCTTCTCCTTCAACCTGTCTCCGCCAGAGATATCTCCCGCCGGATGGTGGCATTCGCCCTTGCCAAGATTCGCGTCGGCGGTGATGTGTGTTTCAGATTTGTCCATGTCCACCGTCCTGGAGAACACCATTTCATGGGGTGATTTTTCTTTTCCGAAATGATGGGGCGTTTTGAGTCGGTTTTTATAGTCTTGGGTCGGTGCCGAAAAGTATGGGCGGTGATGGGGAGTGGAATATCTGAGACGGCGGCGACTCCATCTCAATAGGGCTATGGAGAGGTTCAGCAAAGAAAATAAAAACAAGGAGATTTCTTCTCTCTGTTTGGATGAGTATAAGGAAGGCGACGTCGTCACGCCGTTAAAGCCATCTTGTTCGCATAGGTTGCATAGGTAAATGCATCATTAAGTGGCTTGAAGTAGCAAATGAAGATTCACACAGATTCTCATAAGCAGTATCACCTTTTTGACACCACCTAATGTCGGAGTATTTTTTTTTGAAAATGAATTTCTTGATCAGTGCAGTCTTAAAAGCTGATGTAATTGCTTTTTGGGTTGGTGATAGCAGTCGAGCCGAGCGCAGAAGAAGCACAGCTAAGACTTTGCCAACTGGGTATAGAGGTTAGGTTCCGTTGTGGGAAGCTCTCAATCGTGGGAGGTTAGGTTCTGAGCCGGAGTAGCCTTCATCTTCTTTACTGGAATATCTCAGTTTTACTATGCTGACTATTCCGGCGAGAGATCTCTCCGGCGGAGACAGGGCTGACTGAGAAGAAGGTGGCGATCTCGACAGAAATAATAGACAAAGCATGGTCAGGAGAGGAGAAAAAGAGCCGATGGTAAAGTTGGAGCCAATGCATTGGAGTACTGGGGTAATAAAATAATAGGGATATAATAGACATTTAATTTAATTAGAAGCTGTATTTAGTAAAAAGCGGAATGTATTTGGAATTACCCTAATTCTTATGTGTGCATTATCACACTATATATCAAGGTTTACCGGAAGAAAGACATGAAACTGAAAGAAGCCAGTAGCCCATTATAAAAAGGAAGTACATTTCATCTCTCGCTGAGCGAGCACCCATACCCCGATCCATACCCGATCTACACCCATCATTTTCCCCGGCCTGTTATCATATCCAGTCCAAGAATGACATAGCATTTTCAACTTAAAGATCGAAGCCCAATACTGTTAGGCGGTTATTATTGTGTAGTAAAGTCCGTCTCCTTAGCTATGCGCTAAATTGCTCACAGATCCATTCCAAGCCACCTCCATAACTCCACTCCAGTCTCCTCCACCATCTATAACACGGGGCAGAAGTTAATCTAAAGTTTGTGATCGGAAGACGCCGGCCTTCATGACGGCGGATATTGCGAACAGGGTTTCAGCGCCCCTCGCCGCCTATCCCAACGGCCATGCGAAACCTGCAAACCCTAACTCAGCTCCTGCCTCTAAGAAATCTAAAGAAAACGACCGTCGCCGAAGGAGGAGAAAGCAGAAGAAGAATAGTAAGGCGTCCTCGGACGCTAATGGAGGAGATAAGGGTGCTGCTGTCCAACCCGATGTGAATAACTCCAAGGAAAATGCCTCCCCTCCGAAGGTATTTCTAAATCATGCTTAATACTATTGACCTCTGCTTCTGTTCAGATGATTTATTCAATCGAATCATAACTATTGTTTGGCGATTTTGTGAACGTCATACAATGACTGGAGTTGAGATATTATCTGGACATTTGGTTAGCTATTGTTCGTTAATTGTCTCGTGTAAACATAGCCCTACACTTTGCACCATTAAAAGGACATGATTGTCTTATTCCATTTATCTCTGACATCTTTCTCCCCAGGATTAGCATTTTGGTTCAGAGAAATTATTGATTGTTTCCACTGTACTAATTTTGTATAACTATTTAAAGAGACATAATACTACCTCCGTCCCTGTGTACTTTGCCAAATGCAAAGTAGGTGAGAAATAAGAATAATAAAAATTGTGTATTTGAGCTTTGTGCAGAGAGAGAAATGTGCCCTGAACCACAAATTAATTGCTTTAATAGGAAAGTGACAAAGTTTTTTGGGACAACCAAAAAAGGAAAGTTGGCAAAGTCCAATGGAACGGAGGGAGTATTATTTTTTCTCTTCTACATAAATCACTACTACACTGTTTTCGTATTCCTATGCTGCATGCTTGTCATACGTAGTAACGTAATGAGGGCAGGAGGATGAAGTATATTATCTTCTCTTTTGATTGACTCTTGCAAAATAAAAGAACTATGTTGATTGTGAGGCTCAAATGCTCTATGCTTTGATTTGGTTTTAAACCTTGCGGTTAATTTGGGATATAGTTGTCACTGCAGTCTTTGGAACATGTTGAAGTGGAGTATGTTCCTGAAAAAGCAGAACTGGATGGTTCTTTTGATGAAGAATTTCGAAGGGTTTTTGAAAAGTTCAGTTTTTCTGAAGCTGTTCCTGAGGTATAACAAATCAGTTCTCCACGTTTCTTAATTTTCTAAGTTGACCATCTCTTTTCTAACTTCTCCTGAGTTGTCAGGAGGATGATAAAAAGGACGAACCTGTCACCGATGCTGGTTCAAAGAAAAAGGCTGATTCAGACTCTGATGAGGAAGAGCAGGATATTCAACAAAAAGAAAAGGGTGGCATATCAAACAAAAAGAAAAAGGTTATATATCAGTATTCTTTTGCAAGCATTAATGGTTTTGGTGTTTTTCTTACAATTGCACTAAAACAACCTACTATTTCAGCTTCAGCGTAGGATGAAGATTGCTGAACTGAAACAGATATCTTTTAAGCCTGATGTGGTTGAGGTATGGTGGATTGTTTTTCGTTTGATTCACTGTAAGTACATGGTATTCCTATGTTGATCTTTACTTATCACTCTGATGACTTCAAGGTCTGGGATGCCACTGCTTCAGATCCTAAACTGTTGGTATTTTTGAAATCATATCGAAACACTGTTCCTGTTCCAAGACATTGGTGTCAGAAACGCAAATTTTTGCAGGTTAGTTAACGAGGTTGAGAGATGTGTATAATAAGCAATTTTATTGCATCTGTCACACTTTTGTACTGCATATAACAATAGATGAGGAAGAATGGGAGTAATTATACGACTGTTTGGTGTGGGTAGGGGATGTAGGTACAGTCATTGAGGTTTGGCTTATATGTATATACATGGTTCTTGCAGGGGAGCTGCTATGGTACTGATGGAGCCTGAACATGTAGGTGTTTGGCAAGGAGAATCCTTGCATATTTAACCGTTTGATGTATATATTATTTGTGTGGGCTGGGATTGCCAACTAAATGGGCTTCTTTTGTAACTCTATATACTCCCATAAGTACCTTTTTAAGACAAATGAAGAAATGAGTTGTTCCATTCATGTGTCTACATTATGCTAGGGTTGAAGTGATTAAGACTTCTATGTTGATATCATCCAGCATAGCAGTTAATTAACTCATCCTTACACCGTTTAATTGAGTAATGAACTCTTTTTCTTATTAGTTTATCTCATCTCTCTCTTCATTTGTTTTTCTAGGGGAAGCGTGGTATAGAGAAACAGCCCTTTCAATTGCCCGACTTCATTGCTGCTACAGGAATCGAGAAAATCAGACAAGTAAGAACAATTATTTTATGACATACTTCCTTGTATTTCTACAACAGTACAAGTGTAATGTGAGCATGTGGCAATCCATGGATCTCTTTCCCCTACATCAACCAACCAAATACCTTTTCGACACCTCTTTTCTGATGATCTTATATTTCACCATGCTATAGTCATCTTTAGTGAAACGTTTATTCATTTTTATTTCACTGGTTTGTTTTGCCATTCTACCTCTGCAGTCTTACAATGAAAAGGAAGATAATAAGAAGCTTAAACAAAAGCAACGGGAGAGGATGCAGCCAAAAATGGGAAAAATGGATATTGATTATCAGGTATTCTTACAGCACACTGGCACATGCAGATATATAATAAGATCTCTTACTTCACTTATACTGTTTTAAGTGCATGGGTGTGACTTTCACTCTATTTTTTGGTCAGGTCCTCCATGATGCCTTTTTCAAGTATCAAACTAAACCCAAGCTGACATCACATGGTGATCTTTATTATGAAGGGAAGGAGTTTGAGGTATGAACTTTGTTTAATGAATACTAGTTCGTTAGTTGTGCACTGTTTAGGACTATGTGGTGCACGTGAGCACATGTTTATCTTTCCTTCTATTCTTAAATCCTAACAACCTAGGTCAGAATTAGTGCATACTTTCTTGTCTTTTAAAGATGTATAATTTTAAATTACATTTAATTATTGTTTGCTTTTGTATTGGAAAAATGTTTAATAGCTTGAGTATGATGGAGAAACTTTATACAATGTCTGGTTATCATACAGGTGAAGCTGAGGGAAATGAAACCTGGAACATTGTCTCATGAGCTAAAGGAAGCACTTGGTATGCCTGAAGGTTCTCCTCCTCCGTGGCTCATTAATATGCAGGTTAGATGCTAGTATGATCATACAATTTTGACTTTATAACTAACATTGTTATTGCCTTATTGGCATTCTCTTCTCTAATGGATGATTACTTCTCCTGCACATTTAATATCTTACAAAAATTCATTGCTGCAGAGATATGGTCCACCGCCTTCCTATCCTCATCTAAAGATTCCTGGATTAAATGCTCCCATCCCACCAGGAGCTAAGTTCGGTTATCATCCTGGAGGCTGGGGTAAACCACCTGTTGATGAGGTATGTTTTACCATATTGGTGAATATACACACACATATATTCTCATATATTTGTATGAATGTTTGTGTTTGTGACTTTGCGTGTATTATTGATAGATCACAACAATTTCACAGAAGAAATACAGAAACAATATAGAAGAAATCTCCAGAACTTTATTGAATGTAATAAGCAACAATGGCCGAAGCCCCCAAAAGAGAGAGACAGTGAATCTCAATCTTTCCCAGTCCAGACTACAACAATCTAACTGCCTACTCCTTTCTCTCATCTTTATTCTATTTATAGTAATACAGACTAACAGAAGGTAGTTATTAGCTCAAACAGAAATATAACTACAACTAACTCTTCTATTTATGAGTCTAATAGGTCAATCCCTATCAATACTTCCCTCCCTAAACATTCCCCTTGCCCTCAAGGTGGGTGATAGGCAACAGACGCAACTTTCAGCTTCATCTTCATTCTTATGCCTCTTCCTTCCCAATACCTCACTGAATCCTGGATTTGTAGCTTCAGTACTTGAAACTTCATTTTCCTGTTCTTCACTGTCAGTAAGATCAGAAGCATAATCCTGGTGGCAGAATACTCCCTGTGCTTACTTATGAACTCTTCAAATAAATCATTAACCCATTGAAGAAGCACAACATCACTTATTGACTCTCCATCTTGTTTTGGACTTAATGCTCCAATTGGTTTTGCAAGAACCAAGTAAGTAAACGACTTTATCAAATCCAGATATTCTGAGGAATAATCAGCCAGAACCCAAGGAGACAAAGGAGACTTAGTTGATTCATCATAAGATCTTCCAGTAGGTTTGTTGAGAATCATAATGTACTCACCATTTATAGCCCTATAAAACCGGCAATCGAAACCTTCCCCGCATCTCCCTGACTGTTTATCAATTCTCAGGGAATTTTCCTCCTCATTTTCCTTGCTTGGACCATCACACTTTGATCTGTTTCTTTCCAGATCAACTTCCCCTAATGTGGTCAGTGCCATTGCAACTCTTGAGATGCCTTGATCACTACCCCCTAGCACATATCAGTACCCTCTCACGTGGTATGCCCTCTCAACATGCCACCATCCTGAGTTATTAGATGTATCATTTCCTTTACGAAAACAGGACCAAGAGCTCAGGCCAGAAGAAAAAACATTTGGATCCAGTCTCAACAGCATGAGTAAAAAATTTCATCAAGTGATCCTTAAAAATTGTAGTTGACATCAGTAGGTCCTGATAGATGATCAATGAATAATAATTCATGTTCTCAACACCAGATTCTAACACCCAGATGTTTGAATGAAATAACACCCTCTTCCAATAGTCAACATATTTAAAGAACTAAAATCATTCAATCCTTGTTGCTGATGCTGGAAGATGGAAGAATCAAGACAAGAGCTGACAAAGTCCCTGTAAATGCCACTAACGAGTTCCAGGGACCTAGCAGATGAGCTTCTAACCACAGAATAAGAATTTGTCACAGCAGGATCATCAAACCGATAGTCCAAGCTTGCATCTCCTTCTTGAAGTGATATACAAACGGATGGCATTATCCTTACATGTTCAACACTTATCAAGGCCACTTGGAAGATAGCAGGGTTGATTTCATGGTCAGACATCTGGAATCTGTTAGCGCAACCCTCATTAGGAAACCAATCTTTTTCTTCCAATTTCCAGTAATTCCTAGTTTCCTACTCCTGATCTATCGTGAACGTTCTTAATAGAGGTAACACAATCAATTAGGAAACCATCAATCTGGTTCAGCCCCTTCATTGGAACACCCAATCCAAGTTCAGGAACGAAATTAATCAAGGTTTTCAAATTTAATACATTAGCATAGCTCATATCAGCATAAGCAAGTATATCTGGTTTAAGTATTTCTGAACCTCCCATTTTGTCTGATGAAATTTCCGTAGGTTGATTAACCTTCTCTTCAGGGGCTGTTTCCTTAACTGAAGGTATAAGCGATGATGAGATGTGAGATCTGGCGAGTGAAGAAACCTGCGAAGTAGGAACTTCTGCTCGCGTGGAAGCCAGAAGACCAGAAGAATTTGGCGACTGCAATGAACCTTGGCTTTTCAAATTTATGCAGCGACGTACCTTCCTCGATCTTCCTCGCTGACTCGGTTGTGGCCGCAGCATGGTGCACAAATCATCCAATCCGGTCCTCCTTTCCTTCGCCCCATCCCTTTCTACCTTTTCTTTGCTCTTCGTATGCTTCTGCTTAGCTATTTTTCCGCGCTCCACCTTTTCCGCGATCTTCCCTAGTTTTCCGTGTGAAGGCTTTCGTGAGTGCAAAACAGAAGAAACAGTTCGCGATTCCTTCTGCGAACTGTTGAGCGACTGCGACGAACAATGTCTACGGCTCCTCGCTCGAAGTGCGATGTTGCCACTCTCTCCAGGAACGGAATTTCTTCCTTGTCCATGGTGCGAAGTGCGATGCGACTTATGCGAAGTGTACGACTTGCTCTTCAATCGTTTCTGGAGTCTCTTCTCCAAGATTGCGAGGCTTGCCTTTATAGCTGCCATTGAAGCTGCTATTTTCACCGAAGTATGTTGGTGATTGTCGTCCAATTCGTTCTTTCTTTCTTCCATTTCTGTACGCGTAATGATCATCCAGCGATCAACGTGCTCTGATACCACTGATAGATCACAACAATTTCACAGAAAAAATACAGAAACAATATAGAAGAAATCTCCAGAACTTTATTGAATGTTATAAGCAACAATGGCCGAAGCCCCCAAAAGAGAGGGACAGTGAATCTCAATCTTTCCCAGTCCAGACTACAACAATCTAACTGCCTACTCCTTTCTCTCATCTTTATTCTATTTATAGTATTACAGACTAACGGAAAGTAGTTATTAGCTCAAACAGAAATATAACTACAACTAACTCTTCTATTTATTAGTCTAATAGGTCAATCCCTATCAATTATGAAATATTATGTTACTAATGTGCTAGCAAATCTGGGATAGAGTGTTCCTCATTGAAAAGACATTTAAAGAATGTGAACTAGAACTTTTGGCTATAGCTGTCTAATTTGCTTGCTTAAAAGAGTGAGCGATTGAAAGATTAGATTTATTTATCACCTCACCTGTATGCATTGGATTGTATAACACATATTTTATATTGATGTGTGTGATTGTTACACTGTTACTGCTGCCTGTTAATCTCTTAGCGAACTATTATTATCTTTATTATATTTGTCTATACTCATTAACCCCCCTCCTTGTCATCTCACCAATTTGATTACATTATCACCATTGTCTTCATTGGAACAGTTTGGCCGCCCTCTGTACGGTGATGTGTTTGGTGTTTTGCAACAAGAGCAGCCTACTTATGAGGTAAGTCTTTCCGTTATGGAGTGGAGTATTCACCTTTTTTGTCATGAAAATGTGTTACTAAGTATTTAAAATTGTGATCCGTAAGATGGCCATGCTATTTTATTTCAACTATACATTGTGGGGTTGCTTGTTCTATATGGGATTATTAACTTTCATAGTTCTGCTCTCGTGCTTGTATGCCAGACAAGGAATATATCATGCTAATATGAGACTTTATAGTATATTCATTTATAAGCCAGAAAAGGAGTATATCATGCTAATATGAGACTTTATAGTATATTCATTTATAAGCCAGAAAAGGAGTATATCATGCTAATATGAGACTTTATAGTATATTCATTTATAAGCAAAGGTTTACCGAATGCACATGCATGTTTCTTCAGACAGCTTTTCAAAGATAGATGTTGTATTTTGTTGGTTAGTGGTTGAAATTGTTGTAGACTTTTTATTTTAATTGTTAAACAGGGTTTCTTTTAATATATTTGGTTGCTTTTTGTCCATTTATTACATTGCATGTTTATGAATTTTTCATCTATAATTCAGGATGAACCTGTTGATAAGAGTAAGCATTGGGGTGACTTGGAAGAAGAGGAAGAAGAGGAGGAGGAAGAGGAACTAGAAGAAGAGGTGGAGGAAGAAGAGCTAGAAGATGGCATCCAATCAGTTGATAGTCTTTCAAGGTTAGCTTTGTAATCTTGTATTGCTTGATAATTTTCTCGAGATATTATATATAATGTATGTATATATTCTTTGAGAACACGGGTTTATAAAACTAAATTGTTCACTTTTATGCTATAGCACTCCTACGGGAGTTGAGACACCTGATGTTATTGATCTCCGCAAGCAGCAAAGGAAGGAGCCTGATAAGCCTCTCTACCAGGTAATCCCCGCCCCTTCTTTCTTCTATCATATGTAGAAAAACATTCTATATAAGTCGATATTTTTGTTCTTTACAGGTCCTTGAAGAAAAAGAGGAAAAGATTGCTCCAGGAACTTTACTTGGAACAACTCACACGTATGGAGTCTTCTTCTGTCTATATACTTGTTAAATGATTGGATCTCATATTTAAATCAATGCAGTGCAACATAGTCTTTATCTCCTTCAATGTTTTATGTTTGTTTTCCATATGTAGGTATGTGATTAGCACCGGTGCACAAGATAAAGCTGGAGCAAAAAGGGTAATTATGGGCTTTTGACTACTATAGTCTCTTTTGTTTTCAGTTGGTATGCTTGGACTTTCAATTAAATAAGAGGTGGGTTTTGGGCTAATTGCAGGTTGATCTACTTAGAGGTCAGAAATCAGACAAGGTGGATGTGACATTAGCTCCAGAGGAGCTGGAATTGATGGATAATGTGTTGCCGGCCAAGTATGAGGAAGCTAGGGAAGAAGAGAAGCTGCGTAACCAGCGTGAGGATTTCAGTGACATGGTTGCAGAGGTGCATTCTCTCTCTCTCTAAATGTTGAATTGGATTCATTCCTCTTGATTTTGATGGACTCTTTGTTATCTATGGGATTGAGTACCTCGCTGATTAGAAACACACCTATATGACTTTGCAGAATGAGAAGAAAAGGAAAAGAAAGATGCAGGAAAAAGAAAGCAAGTCAAAGAAAAAGGATTTCAAGTTTTAGTGAGGTTATGTTTTTCCTTTTGGTTGTTTGTAGTACTAATGTACTGTTATATAGTAAAAGATATGGCAAGTACTTTGCCCTTCGTGTCGAAATTTTATAATTTGGATACGAGCAAAACTCTTCGCCCATGTATTCTCCTCGAGACAAAACAAAATGATGGGCATGCTACCATTTTAATGCACTGATTTTTTGTAAGTGTACAAGAGTATTTGATTAATCACTTGATGAAATTATTGACATTTGTTTGCTAGTATTAGTATTATTATTGTTGTCACTGCTGTTAGGAAAAACAAAGGCTCGCTCTTGGTCCTACTTTCTAGAAATTGTGGTTTTTGTTGATAAATTTTCTTCGGTACTAGAACTTAGGGGTGGGGCTGGTGGACATTGGTTTTTGGTTCGGTTTTTGTCGGTTCGGTTTGAAACGGGTTGGAACTTGGAAGAATTATTACCTAACAAAAACCGTACTATTTTTCGGTTTGATTCGGTTCGGTTTAGTTTGGTTGGTTTAATTCAGTTTGGTTAGATTTAGATTTGTTATTTTTAAAATAATATATGAACATTTTATTGAATTTCTTTAGTTCGCTTCGGTTTTGTTCGATTTTTATCGGTTTCGGTATGGTTAAGTTTAATACTGTTTGGAAGAAGTACAATCAAACTCAAACAAAATTGCATATGGTCCGGTTTTGGTTCGGTTTGACACAATGACACGGTTCAATTTGGTTAAACTAAACTTATATGCCCACACAAAAAAACTTACAAACAAGTGATTTGGTTATTCTAATTACCATTGATGTAAAAGTGTTGTAAATGTGATGTGATGTGTTAAATAATGTGATGATGCCACATACCCCTTTTGTAAGACTTTTTGTAAAAGTTTTTGTACCTTTAGCATAACTCCCGTGTAAAATATGAAAACATTGTATAAGTAGGCACCCTTTTTGCATGACATGCAAATTATTTGCATGGTAGTGCATTACCAGTTTACCGCCATCTCTCAAGTAGGTGGTAGTAATAGGGGTGGACCGGTTCCGGTTCGGGCCTAGGCCCGGCCGGGCCTCGGTTCAAGAAGGGGAGACCCGGAACCGGCCCGGGTAACCCCAGGGTCCGGGTCGGGACTCGGTTCTATTTTTTTTTTTTTTTTGGCTTTTCCTAGTTAACCCCCAACCCTCCCCCACACCCCCAAACCCACCCTAACCACCTCAAATGTCCCAAAATACCCATCCCAACCCAAAAACTTAAAATAAATTCAAAAAAAAAAAAAAAAAAAAAACAGGCCCGGCCTGGGCCCGAACCGGCCGGGCTGGTTCACCTTTTGAAGGGCTCGAGCCCGAACCGCCATCCCACCGGGCCGGTTGGCTCGAACCGGGCTCGGAACCGGTTCACCGGTCCGGGCCGGGCCCGCACAGTAGCGGGCCGGTCCGGTTCCGGGCCGGTCCGGTTCCGGGCCGGTTGGCCTGGCCCGAGTCCACCCCTAGGTAGTAAATGAAGTCTTCAACAAATCATCCTACTACGTTAAATAATCAAATTTATTTAACCTAAACTGTATACAACACAGTATATTCTTGTATGATTCCAATGCTGTTTGTTATTTTATCAAATGTATTTAGAATATCATGTGTTTGGTAAATGCTCCTCTAGTATTTGGCACGGAGCCACGTAAGCGGGACGCAGTTTCAATGAGTTTCAATTTTGGATATGCTCATACGCCGTAAAAGACTTGGAATTTGGACTCGATGAGTTAGATTTTTTCAAGGGGAGTTGTTTATTCAAGGTAAGGGTTCAGTTCTTCCATACCCCTATCTGAAATGGGCCTATTTTCACTAGGCATTGACTAGGGATGGACTAAACCGGGCCGGCCCAGACCGTTACTGTTTGGGCCCGGACTGGACCGGGACCGGTTGGTCGGTTCCGGGCTTTTAGCCCGTTTCGGCGGGTCGGGCAGGCCGGGCTTAGGCCCAACTTTTGGTGAACCGGCCCTGGCGGTTCGGGCCGGGGCCGGTTCAATTTTTTTTTTGTTTTTTCATTTTTTTTAGCTTTTCTAGGTTAGGGTTGGGTGTTTTGGGGGGGTTTGAGGGGTGGGGGTGAAGGGGGGGGGGGTCGGGTATTATTTAGAAACAAAAAAAAAATTGAACTTGACTCGGGCCCGGCCCGGACCCGGTATCAACCCGGGCCGGTTCCGGGCCCAACATTGTGCAAAAAAAGCCCGCCCGGCCCCGGCCCGGAACCGGAACTGGACCGGCTCGGGTCCATCCCTAGCATTGACCTGGGTCAGTTCAGTCCTGGTTTCGGGCCAACACAACCTGGTCCTGGTTTCAGGCTGATACCGTTTGATCCTTGCTCTTTTTGGATGAAGCTTGGGTCCATCCTGGTTATTTTCGGGTCTGGACTGGTTTCGGGCCTGGTCTCGTTTTTATTCGGGGTTGAAACAAAAACATTTGTGGTCAGGATTGAAATTGGAACCTAGTACCTCTCTGGGGTAGATAAAATAAAAGATTAGTTTGTTAAAGTCTAATGCCTATCAATTATCCGAATAATATCAAAGATATTCATTGGCTAAAAGTTTTGTTTAAATATGGCAAATTAAAGCTCCAAACAAAAACTTAAAATAACTATTCACACAGAAATAAATCACCAAATCAATGTATGCATACATACACTCTTTCTTATTGGAATTTGTCAACTTTCTCTTAGTTGTCCACAACACATTAATATTTTGACTACATAAAAATATCCGAATCAATTAAAAAAGTACTTATGAAATAGAGTCAAAATATACACTCTTTTGTTTAGATATAGACCAATTTACTTCTAATGAATCACTACTAGTGAGCTCAAATTGTACCTTGCTATATTTCAGAAATATTACTTTGTTCCAAGTGTACCTGAAAAATGTATAACCCTTTACTATATAATGGACCAAAAACATACTTCGTATTAAAAAACGGCTTCCATCTTAAAATAACATTGTGAATATATACGTACGGTAGATTCCGAATAAAAGGACAAAAAGAACAATCCGGCATGTACTTGCTCTTATGAGCTTGGTGCTAAGACAGTACAATGCCCATAAATACATCCCAACTTCAACATCGAGGCAACAATGAAAAGATCCTTCAACATCCTTTCAACTATGAAAAACAACAAAAAGAAAATCCCGCATTTACTTGCTCTTATGAGCTTGGTGCTAAGACAGTATAGTACCCATAGATACATCCCAACTTCACTTGGATTCAAATTAGTCTTTTCATTCAATGTCTGCAAAGAATTATTTTTTTACGAATAGTATGACCAGGTCGCATGTTAAGAGAGCAAGGTTAAGTAGTACAAAACTATAACTCAACGAGATCAAACCTTTAAGATAGTGCCAAGTTAATTATTAGGGCAAGTACATTGGAAGTCACTCCTTTTAGCTTTGCAAATACGAGTCCTATATGCACGTAGAAATTCAATGTTTATTAGTAGGTTATTTGTACCCGGATTTTAGTAATATTACTGTATTAGAAAATAAACAGGTGTTTTCAAATTTCATTAATAAGTAAAAAACATATGGTGATTGGTTTTAGAAGTTTCAACTCAGAAATGAGTAAATATTCTAGGTTATCACTTCTTCAAATCAGTAACATAGGTTTAAACACCATATATTGAAGCCCATATCATTATTTATTATCCCCTTCTCTACATGTATGCATATTATACATGTGTACTCACTCTTATGATCTTATTAATTATCATTATCTTAATATTATAAGAGAAAAAGACCATTTGTTATCTTGGAAAACTTATCATGTTAGCATTTCAAGATTCTACAAGGATCATATATCATTCTTTTGAAAATCCCAGTTAGACATTTTTACAAACATTTTGTAGACAATACAAAACTAAAAAATTGAAGCAAGTTCCTACATCTTCTATCTCAAATTCCTCAAATATAATGCAATTAAACCAACCCTAGACATATTACAAGATCACTAGCAGAAAATTAAACAATCAATGAAAAAGTAGAGGTAATACCACTTTGGCTAGCGATACTAAATTTCGCCGAAATTCAATGAATCCTAGAAATTTCACCGAGGAGCGAATTTGATGGATGATTTGCCATGGTGCAAATTCGCGGATAAGGAAGACCGAGAACAAGATCCCTCCTCCAGCGTATTAGCACTCCGGTAGTTGACCTTGCATCTCGTCAGTCCAATCGGTCTTCCTCTTCCGTCTACAGGCAGCAGCGGTTATGGCGAGCGACGACAATGAGTTGGTCGATGTTCTGCTTTGATCGAGAAGCCAATGATGATGGATAAAGCGTTATCTTTTTTCTAATTTGAATCCTTTTTATTGTTTAATATAGTGTCAGCAAAGTTCCAACTTAGTAAATATGGACTACTGATGTACTCCTAATTTACCATATTTATGATCTTGTTTTGTCACACTTTTAATATTTTATTTCTCATTTTTAAATAAAAAGGATTGATTTTTATCATCTTGGACATTTTAAGGTATTGCACTTGTTTTGGTATATTTATTGAGTTTCAGGATAATTCGGGACGTATATTAATCTCTCAAAAGAAATAAATATTACTCCCGAGTGAAGACGGAAAAATCATCAAAGTGAAGCAGGTCCTTACTTTAACTTCGAAATATTTATCAAAAGACCCGAAATACATTTCACAATAAGCCAGACTGTCTGTAATAAAATGTACCGGTTAACTGTTGACCAGTTAACTGATCAAACAGTTAACCGGCCCAAATAATGTAAGTGGCGGATAAGAGCCAAGACTTTGGCTAGCAAGTACTATTCACTCTTTGAGTGATTGGAGACTCCCACGTAAAACTTCCAAGAAGGAAAGAAGCAAGTAATCCAAATTGATTTCATTGATTGGTGGGACCTACAAACTCCAAGCTAAGCAATTAAAATCAGGGTGGTCTTCATCACTTTCAGTCGGCAACCAGAGAGAGCAAGATAGCAAGGAAGAAAAAAAATACACAGTGAACAGGAGGGCTACTATTTGCAGAAGGAAATTGATAGCGGCGATGATGGAATATTGAAGTAAAAGCTAACCAAAAAAATTGATTTCAGCACCTTCATTTCAGGATTTTTATGCTTAAGCCCCTTCTCCTACTACTATATAAAGGACCATCCAGGAGCTTCAAAACACACCAATTCGGAGAGAAATCTTCTTCCTCTTTTCTTTAGCTTTGTTCATAGTAGTAGTCATATAATAAAAGTGATTCTATCAAGAACACTTTCTGTAAATTTCAGTTCACAATTTCCATTTCCAGA